AGCATATCTCCAAGAGCAGGGCATCCTCATCAGGTAGTTGTGTCCAAGAAACTGGAAGTTCTTCTTTATTGCTGGATCAAAACCAGTCACGTTTCCGCCACTGCCTGTCTGATCTCTCTCATTCCAACACCTCCCTGTTTGAGGGCCAGCAATCATTTAGAGTATATAATTCAACGGGCAGGACTCCCAGCCGCCGGTCTTCTTGAAGAGTCATCTCTGCACTTCATAGACTGGGACCAAAACCTGATTTTTCTGTGTCTCAGGCAATTCCCCTGTGTCACTCTAACGTCGTCAGACAGCCCCAGGCTGTCTGCATGACAGGGATCCTCCATGCATGGGTCTCAGAGAGATGAAACAGTTTGCTTTGTTCATTTTGCTGCCTCCTCTTTTTATGTCTAAGTGCTTTTCTTCCTCCTGTGGGAGATGGTATTGTGCTCCTGAGAGCACAGTTCTGACGTTTCGTTGCTGCTGAAGGTGGGGGGATGGCTTGGCTGAGATCCTTTCCCAGTTCAGCGGATCACAAGCAGCATCGAACCGCAGCCCCTGTTCCCTCTTGGGCACCTTAGGCCTGGGGTCTCTGGCTGTTGTGGCTTCACCTGGCAGCCTGTCGGTGTGTCCTGGTTTCGGCAGGGATAGAGTTAATTTCCTCCTGCCCAATTCTCTCCCCCATCCCACAGGGGGCGGGGGGGGGGGGGGGGGGGGGAGGAGGGGGGGGGGGGGCCGGGTTAATAAACCACAAGGTGGGCTGCAAGTGCTGGCCAGTGTCGGGTCTCCCTTCCCGCTGTGGAACAGCATCTTGAACCACTGGTTTGCTCACTGTTGATGAGAGCTCACCTCCCTATAGGTTATAAAACCAGCCTCGGTGCCAGGCTCTGTGATCTCAGTACACGCGGTTTATCATGCCGTATTGAGTCAGCCCAGCTTTGAAGCTGAAAAAGAACTGAAAATCTTCACACCATCTTCTCGGTGAGCTAACCTGTTTATCAGACATGTTCTTCTCTGTGTTTTGAATTTTCAAGAGCAACTGTTAGAGAATCTTTGCTCGGATGAGTGTTTAGCCAAAGTTGTTTGCAGTTGCAGAGTTCTATAGTTCATCTTCTTGGGTATCACCAGGAACCGGGGGTGAATCAGGATTTTGTTATTTTTCAGAAATTGTTTTTATTCCCAGACAGTTTTGCATAGTACAAGCCACTGTCTCACCAGTCTCTCCTGTGGTCAGTTTTACTGTATAACATTAATTCTTGACCTCCTGTGTTATTTTAGCCTCTTGACTGCTTTTCTTACCTGCTTTCTGCAAGATGCCGTTCCTGCTGGTCAGGTTGAGCTGCAGTTTCCTGGGTTTTGAGCACCTGCTTGGTTTTAATCCATCTTTCACAGAAAAGTCCTGGCAACGTGAGACCGATACTTTGAGGCTGTCACTGAAAGACCTTTAATGTGCTGTTTTAAACAGCAGCAGAGATGTTATTTTTTCCCATAGGCCAAATTATTTACATTCACACTCCAGTGACCAAGCTTTCCTTTGCAGACTTTATAACCTAGCCCAGCTCTTGCATGTCTCTGGCCAGTTTGGTTGGGGCTTTGGGTTGACGTCCTTCTGGTCAAGGGTGTTTCAGAGAGTCACAGGGTCAAGTCGGCATTCCCGGGCAAGCGTGGCACTGAGACTCTCTGCACTTACTGGACAGCATCATGTTCTTCTTGTCTTTCATGGCTGGCCCTTAGCGTGCTTTGTAAAGCTGGTGTTGCTCTCCCCATGGCTGCTTTTTCATGCTCTGGACAGTCAAGGAGTGCCCAGCGGTGGATGAAGTTGCACAATACGGGATAAGTTGGTGTCTTAGGGTTTTTGTAGGAGTTGTCCATCAGCGGGCACATTTGAAACACGTTGGTACCTTTTCCTCATCCCTGATCTCACCAAGTTATAAACAATTGAAAAATCAACATTTTTCCATCTGTCACTTACTGTCAGCAAAAATGCCAACAGTCTGCCAGAACACCAACGGGATACGGTGCTTGGGTCATGCTTCTGCCAGGCAGTGGGTGCCACAGCATTCGGTGCTCTTTCTCCTGGAGACCACGTACCCTGGCTTGTGCCACCAGTGCTGCGCCAGGGTGGAGCAGAGGGAGAAGGTCTCACCTTTCTAGCCCACAGGGTGAAAACCTCCCACTCCTGCTTCTCTGTATCCGAGTAACCTAAAAAATCTGAACTGCTGCCCATTTGGGTGGACAAGTTTGGATGATTAAAAATTAAACAGAAAGCACGGGCATGTTCTGTCAGTATTTCTGTTCTTTATTTGGAAGGGAGCAGGGTGATGGTCATGTATCACATGCAGACGATGAAACGCTTTCCAAGCCATTAGTAACTCAAGCTGTAAGCATCTTCCAGGTGGTAATTTTTCAGTATTTGCATTTTGTAATTGTATGATGCTGGGGCAATGCCAGGGAGACTGGCAGAGCGCTGGCGTTTGGAAGGGGCAAGGGGATGATCCAGTTAATTATAAACCTGTGAATCTGATATCAGTTGCTGGCAAAAAAAAAAAAAAAATCTGATACTGTAGGCAGTTGATAAAGAGTTAAAGAGTAGAATATAATTACCAGCAGAAAACCTCACAAAACAAATTTCATTTATTTGAGGTGTTAGATTTGTTTGATAAAGGTAACTGTTTAGATGTAATAGATTTTGTTTACCACTGTAGAACATTCCCATTACAAAAGCCGCGGTGTACAAAACCAGTGGAGCACCTGGGAAGTGGTTCAGAAATTTGCCAGATGACGGGTCTTGGCAAGTACTTGTCAGCAAGGAACCGCCGCTGGCCGGGATTTCTAGTGTGTCTCTCCAGGACTTAGCTCAAGATCCGATGCTACATGGTGATTTCATACACGTTCTAGAAATGAACCTGAAATCACGGCTAATAAGTAATAGATGTGCAGGGGACCCGTGAGCTGCAGTGCTGGGGATATGCCGTGCAGCCCTGGGCTCCGCTGTGCGACGGTGCTTTGGAAAACTAAAGGGCTTGCAAAGACAAACTGCTGAAGTGGTTTAGGATCAGGAGAAAATACAGGATAACCGTGCTCCAGGATTCAATCCATTCCATCCAGTTCATCCAAAAAAAAAAGATTAAGGGGTGATTTAACTAGAGTAGACTGGTAATTTCATCAAAATCAAATTTCCTGAGGAAAACGTGTGTTTTCATGAAAATTGAATAATTATTGAATCAATTACAATCAAAATTGAATCAATTGGATAATTGAATATTTGAAATAAAATTATTATTTCAAAAGCTTTGCATCTTAGGAAATGCTGATGTTCCACTTCAGAATTTAGTTCAACGACTTTTTCCATTTTTATACTTTTTACAGTTTTTCATAGAAAACAGCACTACGGCTCATGTATTGCAAATGTAATAACCTACATACTTTTAATTATTTAAATGACAGTTCAGTCTACCCTGAATTAGTATTAATAAAAACACTTTAGACTTCACTCTAAGATGAAACATCTCCAGCTGGAGTAGAAACACATAAAACCCAAGCATTCTTGAAATGCCGAAGTTTCCAGCATCCAGGACAATTCTCCATTTCAGTCTGTTGTACTTGTGATCCCACGCACTGTGGTGCAGGGACGATGCTGGTAGTGAGGGAGGTGGGACTGTGCGTGAGGAACGGTAGCACAAGAGCCTGTGACTGAAAATGGATTTCTTGATAGTAATATAGGAATGCTTTTTTTTTTTTTAAGCGGTGGGAATTACTAAACACTTGGAACAAACCTGCAGAGGAAAGGTTGAATTCTCCATCTTGTGGTGTCTTTGAGACCTGAAGCCAGTGGCATGCAACAGCTTAGCTATAATGCTTCTGGTCTTGAACTTAGGGTGACGAAATTAATGTTGCATGGACAACCTAAATCCTGTCATTACCTGTCTTTTGAGTGTTCCACTTCTGGAAACATAAATATTAATGTAAATATTAACATAGGTGATTCTATATTTATTGCCCATAGAGGATCACTTGTCTCTTATTTGCTGTCAGTTATTCTCTTACACCTAGAGTAGCAGCAGCCCTGGAGTACACCGTACATTTCAAAAGTGAACGCCAAAGTGTGCAAACACGTCTGGATTTTTACAAAGTGGGTAATTAAGCCGCAAAAGTTGAAATCAGTTTTTCTAGCGGTGAGGCGTCTGACCTGTGGCATCCTCATCCCCATTACACCTCAACCTCAGTTACCCAAAGTGAGGGTCCATCTGTTAATGCCCCATGAAGAACCTTGTGCTCATTGCTACTTGGTAGATACCCAAGTACTGAGGTTTCATTTTCCAGTTTACTTCTTGGTTTTGTGTCTTAGAGATTGCCTAGCCTGCCATCACAGCCCAGTGCTTGTTGTCCAAGAAGCTAATAGGTTATGCTAGTGCTAAAAATGACAACAGGAGTGGGCTTCCACGTGTCCTGCAGACCCCTGGAAGGAGTCAATCAGCGTGTCGATAGCTGGGGGATCAGATAAGTGTCTCCATCTGTATAACACAGGTTGCTGCTGGTGGGGACAGGGTGGCTGAGCTGTTCGGGGCGATCCTTCTGCATGCCACTCTGCACGGGTGCCTGTGCTCTTCCAGCGCCTCTTGCAGACCTGTGGCACAGCTCAAGACTTATCCAGGAGTCTCCCCTGTAGTTGCCAAATACCCAGGCAGAACTAGGAAATACCCAATTTTTAGTGATCTGCCTTGACTGCCCAGTAGGGAGGGGGAGGTCTAGCTCTTGCCGCCTACCTGCAGCCCTGGTGTGCACTAGTTTGCACTGGCCTGTTGCAGGTCTCAGCTTCTCCAGAAGGTTGAGGTCATTAGTAGGTGACATCCCACAGGGACAGCTTAAATACAAAAATGTGCTAGGCTGTAAAAACAGATGCAGAGATGCAAAATCATCTGGTTTTGTGGCTTGCCATACGTGGGTCTTGCCCTCTGCCCACTCTCTTTGTGACAGCCAGCCTTTACACTGCTCTCTTTTTATTTGTGTCCTAGGTGAATGGTGTCAACGTGGTGAAGGTGGGGCACAAGCAGGTGGTCTCCTTGATCCGGCAAGGGGGGAACCACCTGGTGATGAAGGTTGTTTCCGTCAGCCGCAAGCCAGAATCAGAAGAAGTTGTTCGGAAGAAGGGTAGGTGTGGAGTCTCGTGGTTCTCTGAACGGGGCTTGCATCACCTAAATGTGAGCAGGCGTGCAGAAGCCCGTGGGTCTGCTGGGAGGAGCCCAGCATGGGTGGATGGCCATGAGGCTGCTGAGCTGCAGCTGGTGCAGAAGGAGGGCACCGCGAGGGGAAGACCTGCCCGTCCCGGCACAGCAACCTCTGCATACGCAGCTCTGCCACACCGGGACGCACCGACGGCTGCGGCTGGGAGCAGCGCAGGGGGGATGGGGGCGGTGGTCAGGTGGAGGGGCTGCAGCAGAGCACTGCCACTGATGCTGGGGAAGCCAGGCACAGCCAGCAGCTCTGTTCTCACACCAGAGCTGTGTGTGCTCAGCAAAGGCTGGACATGGCTCCTCCTTGGGGACAGAGCTGCTTCTGGCGCCTGCAGCCCGTGGTACCAGCAGCAGGCTGTGCTGGAGAGCAGAGACTCTCCCTGTCCTGAGGGGGGTCATGGTGGGTGAACTGCCCCTGCTTCAGGGTGCATGGGTGTGTTGTGGTGGGGAACCGGCCCCGCTGTGTGAGGGGGGTTGTGATGGAGAGCTGCCCCTCCTAAGTGTGGGGCTGTCAGAGAACTGTCCCTGTGGGGATGCGGGGGGTGTTGGGGTGGAGGATGGTGCCTACAGGAGTGCAGGGGGTGCCAGGGTGGAGAACAGCCCCCATGGCGGTGGAGGTGCCAGGGTGGAGCCTGTCCTCTCGGGAATGCCATGGCTGGGAACTGCCCCATGGGCTGGGAGCTCCTGGGGGCACGGCCAGTCCTGGGGCTGCCGGCTGCATGTGGGACTTGCCCTCACGCAGGGGAGGGCAGGCAGCCGGGGGGCCCCCAAGACAGCCCTGGGCCTCCGC